TAAAAGTACTTTTCTATTCATTTTGATAGAAATTAAGGAAGATTTGATTACGTTTCGTAATGAAATGAAATAAATTTTTTATTATTTGAAGTTAATTTAAATCTCTGCATTAAAAATCGGAAAGACCCGTTAATAAAAATAAAGAGATCGTAAGAGTCTATGGATAGACATCGTAAAAAGGTTTTGACACCCCATTCAAATGAAAGGAAGACAGCCTAAATAACCTTGTGCCTTAGCTATGTTTCTAATATTAAAAACATACCAGTTATATCAGTTCACGAAAAAAAGAAAAGCAAAAAGTCTCGTCACTCCTCCACAGGACCACGATGAAATCAAAGGAAAGATAAGTCTCATTGCAAGCCTTTATTAAAACTCAGTGACCTATTAGCATTCATACCGTAGCCATGAGTAGATTTCGCTTTAGTCGAAGCAGGATGGTCTGCTAAGAATCTAAATCTGTACAGGCTCGCGTTGCTAACCCCAGGAATTTACGTTTTATTGCCAATTTAAGTGTTGCAAGAGAGATACTAATATCTATAAAAATATATAGATATTTTAAGTGTAAATTGCGGAGAGCAACGCATCATCTTTGGAAATCTCGGTACAATTACTCGAAATGTTTTTGTGTTAAGAAGTCCATATGATTTGAGTAGTTACAAACCTAAAATATTAAGTCCATTCTATTTTAGATAGATGATATTTAAGATTCTATCTATTCTATTCATCCATCAACCCATCTATGCACCGATCTTAAGTTTATTCAAGGTTTAGGTTAGATCAAATATAGTCAATTTAAAAAAAAACTGGGCAACCCCGATTCAGTATGATTGCAAGCTCAGGGTCAGTTCTGACCTGATTTGGATTGCTGTTCTATCAAGAGCCTAGGCAATAACCAATAAACAGTTTTCCTGTGGATAGAAAGTAAAGTTCGCTGAATTTATAGATCGACTTACAAAATGTAAAGCCTACCAACCGCTAGTATCTGTCTTCAAACAATGAAATAAAACTTCAGCTATTAGTTTTTTCCTGACCGCAGTATGATGTTTGTACTGCTGGAAGATACTGCTAGTAGATTGAAGTCTCTCATGAAAGTCTTAAGTACGCTCCACCTACTGAGAAAGATTCAGACTGGAGTAAGTTACAAATTGATTGGTTTCAGAGTGAGATTTTCTATAGGTCAACCAGCTTTACGTATTTTTTCAGTTACTTGCAATCAAAAGACAATCTTAATGAGAAGGATTGGATCAGTGATAGCTGTGTGAAGTCAGAGCATATAGTATAACTATGTTACTAGTATTTCTCATTAATGTTAATCATTAATATTATCTGAATAAATATAACTGCATATTGTATTTCATATAAACCATTTAAAATAAAAGTTCTTATAAAAAAACTTCACAATAATAAATAATAATGAAAATAATAATTATTGTCATTGAAACTTGATTGATTAGTGCAGCTCGAATGACAATTATTCAACAGAATTCCGATGATTAATTACTGAACGTAACTGAGTGCGCGTTCCTATCCTACTACATACTTCCATGTAATTCCGCCTATAGGTAGGGAAGCGTATTCTTGCCTATTACAACTGTGTGTATGCATGTAAGTGAATGTAAATAAATTAACGAAACATTACATTTACTGCGAAATATAATTTTATGACAACGTATCTCATATAGAAAAAATTATAACAGAAACATCAGTTTAAAGAATTTATAGTTCATGCTTTATATTTTTTTATATATTTTGGAAATTCTATATACGAGTATATAATTAATATAATAATAACTTTATTTAATGAAATAAAAATTTTTATTTTCAAAATTGGAACAAAATTTAATATCATTTCAATATTGTCCTCTGCGGAATATTGTCCTCCTTATTTGTTACAACTAGATTATGATCTAGTGCCAACTAGTGTCTTACTCAGACGCCAACGTTCGGTTTATGAATACCAGGAAACAGAAGAATGGATAATACCATCTAAATGAAAGTAAATCAATCTCATCGAAAATTTATGATTGCGATAATTAAATAAATTTTGTTAATTTTGTCAATGTAAAATAATTAACAGGAATAATTAAGAAAATTTTGGCTCAATTCTAATTAAATAATCTAGCTTTCGGAGACAAGTATGTCTACTTTGATAAACTCATCTGCCATACAGTTACCTGAAATATTCCTCTGTCGTAGTTCTCACATTAGTAAGATAGTGAAAAGTTTGTCCCACTTGTTAAAAGAAGCTCTGCGATTCACGACTATTTTGTATTGAATCCAGTCTTGCCAACAGAGTAAGAGAAAGCCTACTCCCTGATCATTCGTTGGACTTATTTGGAGGTGTATTGAAGCAAAGGCTTTCGAATATTTATAGAACAGTCAATCGGGCAGATAAAACTCCAATAGGTGAGCATGAAAAATTCTCTAATGCTCCAATAATCATGAAATTCTAATTGTCATGCACAGAATGGAATTTACAAAACTAGATATTAGGAAAAGTCTCTACAATGAAGAAATAAACACAGAGAAATTCATTCTAAAAATATTATTAAGAAAATATCGATATTTTTCAGAACCATAAAACTTCTATATATATGTATTTATATCTTCACGATTTCAGTTACGTTTAGTTAAGTTTACTACAATAGACCTGTTTTGTAATCGTATTGCAAACAATCTCTGATTTTAAGATTACAGTACAAAACAACAACATTGCTAGCTTAATTAATCCAACTCCTTTACCATCTGCTATCGAAATAATAGTTCACAACATAGGGATGCAAAAGCCAGCGCTTCGAACCGGAACCAAACCGAAAACCGGAACCGAACCGATATATTTTTCTTTTGAACCAGAACAAAAACCAGAATGGAAAAAATTTCGCTTCGTTCAGGGCTTCGAAGCGGAACCGAATCAAAAACCGGAAAAAGCCGACATTTCTGCAGAAACGAAAACCGGAACCAAACCGAACCAAAGTACTTTTTTTCTTTTAAACCGGTACGAAAAAAATTCCGGTTCAAAGCCCTAGCCAAAGCTAATAAACTTGTCTATTGTGAATAATGTTTGGAGTTTTGTCTATTGTGAACTATCATTTTTAGTCAATTGTCAAGAAATTGTTGTTAATTATTTGAATTTAATTACTATAACTTCACATTTTCGATGTATTTCTCAAGTTTTAGGTTACTTTTTAAAATCTTCAATAAAATATGCAAACAAATTTAACACTCCAAGATTTACATACCTATATGTATCTCTGTCATACATTAACACAAAGCGCGTGATAGAATTAGGAGTGTTGCCACCCGAATACCACCCAATATAGTACTTATATTATATTATTTTTTTCCAACATATTAACAAAAGATAATGCCTATAATTAAATTCTGTATGGCTAAGTATAATAAATATCCCCTCTATTCTGAATATTCCCTCCTTTCTTATGTGTTATGTTAAAACTATTTCGAGAATATACGAGTATATACAATAATTACATACTGAAATGATGGCATTAAGCTGAACTAGAAAACATAGAAAAACTCTAATTAAAGACCGTACACACTACATACTAGACGAGTATGTAAATTTCCACTCTCTCCATACCCATACTCCTCTGTTTATATATTTCTTTATGTGTTGTGTTGTAGATGTGTGCATGTATGCGGCATTTCTAAGACAGTTCCTGTCACTTTGACAAATTATTTTCATCTTCTTTATCAATTCGGTTCGAAATTAGTTGATGTGGGCGGGAGGCGGAGGCGGGCGTTTTAAAGTTTGCTGCTGATTAATGTAAAATAGTTTTAAAAGCAAACTTTTCACATTAATTAAACACACTTGAGATGCGATGTGAAGTGACGTGCAGTGTTACTTTAATTACGCTTACCCCTATAAAGTATAAAAGAAAAGCCCACAAAAGCGATTGGTTTTCTTTATTTATAAATTTCTTATTTTCTTTGAAATTAAATTAATATCTTGAATAAATCTTACATTTCTTGCGAAAAGCTTTATTAGTTCTTTAATGCCACCGATTTTAAGCAATAGTAATATAACTCAATTTATAGTAGTAGTTAATTGATATATGTAGTAGTTAATGCTTGATATATGGAACAATAGTACAGACAACATCTCGTTCGCGTTGGGTATGTGGCCGACTATCATCTATGCGTAGAGTCACAAAAGTTCTGCACTTGATTTAACCTCACTAAAAGTTTAGAAGGCACCCATTTCTATATGTTCGCAGCTAGTTTTCCAAACTATTTTCCGAAGTACATCTTACCATACAGTTTTCTGGGGTCCTAACTGCATAATAATTAATTCTAAATGACCACATAAGTCTGCACAGAATTTTACGAGGGCTAGTTTTAACTAACCATTCAATTCTATTGACCAGCACTCAATAAAGTCCCTGTTGAGAAAACTGGCGTGTGACCGCAATAAGTCACTAATGGCGCGATACCCTTGGAGCATCCCTATAATTAAGGTAGGATATCACTCGTTAGTAAATATGGGCTGAAGTTGTTGGCTCATACATCTGCACATCTTAGCTTTGTTTGAAGATACAGAAGCGATAATCACATTTTTAATGATTGTCCACTTTTGCTCCGGCCCGAAAGTTTTCCTTACCGTCTGATGTCACGATTTCCTTTAGTCATCATTTGAATGGCGGTCTAGGGTTGTTTGGCAAAAAACAATATCAGATTGGCAACAAACAATATCAGATTAGCGAAAAGTATATGTGATACGGTGACCTGTGACTGCCTTGTTTATGTTTTTGCTCTCCGTTTTATATATGGAGATTTTACGAAATACGATTTATGAAATGATTTATGGCAACCTGTGACTATACTAATTATGGTATATGAATTCCACACATTAAATTTTTAATCCTTTCACTACTTAGCTACGCAAGTTAAATTTTTTTGTGTACTTGACATTTTTACATTTCTAAAAACTTAGTATACGGGTCAAGAAAATAAATATTTAACGTAATAAAGTTTTACTTAAAACTTTAGACGATCAATATACTTTAATCTGGCAACTCGAAAAAAGGCAATATACGTCAAGTTAAGCGAAAACACTAGAAATAACCTAAAACTAAGGTGTGGGAAAGAGATAGCTGATAAGTTCGCAAAGAAAACTTCAGATAAACGGTAAAAGTTATATTTTTTTTTATTTCTATAAACTGATAACATATATTATCCATCTGTAAAATTTCTATTACGATATAGTAGATATTTGTAGGCAGATTTACGATATTTGAGTGCCTTGATTAATTTAAAAAAAACTTGGTACGATAAGGTAAATATTTTTTGCATGTGAATAAAATTTTCGCTAGGTGAATACTTGATCACGAGATACGTGATCAAGGATTCACATATTAAAGAAATAATATTTGTATTAAAAAACAAAAATATAATATAAATTGGATGTATAATATAATTTTGGGGAATTACAAAAAAGTCTCTGTCTTTTTTGCAATTCAAGACAAGTACTTAAGGTTGCCATATTTCAAGTTTTGTTTTTAAAAATGACATTTATTCCTAAATGAAAAAAAATTAAATTAATTCCTTTTAAAAGTTTTATTTTTGAAGGTGTGAAATTGTTTTTTAAAAATGGAAGAAAACGCTACTGAAATGTCCGTCACTGTTCATAAATATGTAATAGAAGATAGAGTCGACTTAAAGGGCTGTACTACTATATTTTTGGGCAGAGCAAGTGACACTGGGGATATAGTAGCTATCAAAGCTCGGGACCGTTCCACCAAGCACAAACAAATGCAAACCGAAGCTGAAGTTTATCAAAAAATTCAAGGTGACGTTGGTATACCATGTATGAAATGGTTTGGAACGCATGGTGATGAGAGTGTTCTAGTGCTTGAATATATAGGCTCGACACTAGAGCAAATATATAACATTTTTTCTCGCAGTTTTTCATTAAAAACTATTTTAATGCTAGCAGATCAAATATTAACACGAATTACTTATATCCATTCCCGTAACTTCCTGCATTGCAATATTGCACCAGATAACTTCGTTATAGATGCTGATGAGCTGACCAGTATTATTTGCCTTATTGATTTCGGCCTAGCGAAAAAATATCGCGACGAGCATACATTTGAGCACATACCTTGCACGATAAAAGAGAACGAAGAGTTTGACATTGGTACGGCGGATTATGCATCCATAAACACCCATATGGGTGTAGCACAATCGCGACGTGACGACCTTGAGGCAGTTGGATACATGCTTGTCTATCTTTGTTTAGGGTCTTTACCCTGGCAAGGCATCAAGGCATCCGACAATCGTGAGAAGTGTAAACTTATGGCGGAGAAAAAATTCTCTACAACTACAAAATCATTATGTCAGGGGCTTCCAAATGAATTTGTCACTTATTTGGATTACTGCCGCCAGCTGCGTTTTGATGAAGTTCCTAATTATTTGTACTTACGTGCGCTATTTCGTAGCTTATTAAATAATAATGGCTTCATCAATGATAATGAATTTGATTGGAATTCACCAAGTGATTGTTCAAAGAGTCAAGATGAAGTCGAAATGGAAGATATGGAAATCAAAGTGCAACATGAAGAAGACTCAACACAATTGACTAGTGATGAAGTAGATTCGTCCGATCAGACAATGATGGATACTGATGCAATACCCGTAAATGAAGATAACGATGCAGAATCTGATAGCTATAACGAATCGATGACTGAAACAGATTAAGTACCGCAGCCTAAAGACGATCCAATCGAAATATGTTTTTTAGTGTATCTAAAGGCGATTATATGAACATTATTTAAAATACGATTAACTCGTTCATACTTTATTTTTTCTTTTTTGCATTATAATGGTTGTTTCTAATGGTTAACTTTTTATATATGTATTTCCATATTTTTATATTATAATTACATTGTTAACGCTTACTAAAATAAAAAATCTGATCATATATTTGTCCAGTCTGTTCACTAAATGGAACCTTTAGAACTAATAAACCGATAGTATTTAAATTGAAATAAGTCCTTATAAATTCACCTGCAATAATTTCCATAACAAATTTGCCAATATTTTACTTCAATCATTTGAACGATAGTTACAACCCCAGGCACCATATAAAGTTCCAAAAGTGCCGTTCTGCAGCAACGATAATAAAAATTGTGCTTAGCAATAGTCGGCTCCCTGACTACATTAAAACTTTTCAAAACTAGTTCAATGATTATTAACAAGTTTAGGAATTTTTGGGGTTTCTAGAAAATATAAAAATATTTGGAGAAAAATAATTATTGTTCATCTAGAACTACTGCATCTAGAAGACAGTTTGATAAAGCCTTAGAAGGGGTTTGTGGAATTTTTAGAATTTTTTTAAGTTCTGTTATTTTTTAAGTACCACATAACGTATATTAAAGTGTGCTCATAGGTTATGCTTACAAGGCAGTCTCATAGTTCTATTACATGAATTCGTGAATATGAAGATTAATTATTAAATCTCATGCCAGAAACTCAAAACAGAGGGGGAGTTTATATTTGGCTAGCTGAGGTAATCTTTACTCTTTAGGAGTAGATTTTATGCTTTAGAAAAGCAGTATGGTTATTAGAGAATATTAGTCCTATAAGTAAAGAAGTGGAGAAGTTTATGTCTCAAGGCCAATAGGAAATTATATGAAAGAAGACTAATTGATAGGTATTATGTGATACATTCTGATCATAGCTGAGGAATCTCTATAAAAGTATATTCTCGTCAATGGGGGATGCTTAAAAAATGCTATTTAAAAAATACTTGCTAAGTTCAAGTTTACTCAATAATGACTATAATGACGGATGATCTATTGTAATATACAATCTATTAGTTCAACTTTAATTGTTACGAAATTCCTTAGAAATCGTATGTGATAATGCCGAAAAGCATTTATCGGCACATTACGGTGATACGTGTGTTTAGGGTTTAAGGCAGGTAATCACGTTAAAAAATATAAACTCTATAATACTACTAAATTTATATTATATACAGTCAGTGAATACTTATTAATTAATACACGTACGTTTTAACAAATTGTAAATAGTCAATATATGCTTATTGATTAATACGCATAGATAATAACAAGTTGAGAGTTTTTACTAAGAGGAGTCAGTAGCTCTCTAGAAGGAAAACTTTTGTTTACAGAAGTACCCAGAGATCATCATGTATATTATAGTATTAAACTTGATTTCCTACTTGAGTCCTTATTAAGCAATTAGTATTTTTTAATTATTATTTTATTTAGTAATAATAAAAATTGGTTAATGGAATAACTGACACTTAGATCCATCAAGAATTCAATGTGAAACAGCTGACAACTTTTGTTTTGTTTGTTTTTCTAATGAAAATAAAATTTTTTCCATAATATTTTTACGTCTTTATTAGAGTCAATAAAAAATACTTCCTTAAAGGATACGATATAAATATTTTGGTAGCTGCAACAAATCGAATTCCTATGCCTGAATAGGCAATGTTTTTATTGTTAGCAAATGTTACCATTTTCCTGCAACGCTGGCTGCTCTCTTCTCCTCGCAACTCAAAGCACCACAAGCCAGTAACGGCAACTCGACATTGTTCGGAAAAGATGATCCCTGATCGTAACATTAACCCCAGGCGAGCACACTTTAGCTTGACACTGTGAAAATATTAATGATCCTTTAAGAAAGCAGCACTAAAAAGAAAAACGATACATCATATAAAAATATAAATACGAGTAAATATCAAGGATAATAAATCAATAATCCTGTTGATGAAGAAGTACTGGATTGTTGTTGGATAAGAAAATTAGATGAAAAAAAATGTTTAATTAAATGTTAAAATTAAAGAAAAATTGAAAAGTATTTATTGTTTACGGTTCCGGCTCATTGTGCGTTAACGAACCTAAAAGCAATACCAGGGAAGCATTCAATGGATTCACTACAAACAGGATACAAATGCAAGCGTCAGCGCCAATGTAACTGCACTTCATTGATACTCTATTGGCGCGGGAGTTGGCTCTACAGGTAATCCGCTGACCCGCTCGAAGCGTTTACGAGGGGAACTTCATTGAAGCATTGCAGTTGCATGCAGGCGTAGCAGTTTAAAATATTATCCCTTTTAAGGTTCCTTGCGTTTTGTTGCCGGTTTCAACGCGTGCTAAATGAGTTTTTCCTTTTGATTTACTTATTCAATTAACAATTATTTTTCCATTTTTCACTATTTTTTATTACTCAATATATACACATTTCTAATATACTTTCTTAGAGTTCAATTTGTAGTAGTTTTGAGTTTATTTACTCTTGTCTTGCATATTGCATTTCTTATTTGATGATTATCCTTTATTTAGCCTTTTTACTCGCTTCCTTTGAATATAATTTTATTATAATTATTTATTACTTTTATGCTCAATTAGTTAATAACCACACACGCAGTGCACATACACAAAGCAAATATAGCACATATCAGGACCTTTCATTGCTATCCTTCAGCATTATCGGCTTCCATATGTTTTCCCTTATCCTTTTATTTTATTTATTGTTCGTGTAAGAAATAAAATTGCAAAAATAGTTAAGAATTTGTTATTTTTACACATGTTGAACTGAGCATGTGTAGCGGTCCTTTTGTAGTTCCTTATTGGGTAAGTGGCTAACCATACTTATTTGGTTGATAGATGGTTCTAATGGATATTGTTTCAGTTATTAATGCGATCTGAATATCCTTTGTGTTGTGAAGTACTTAATTTTTTTTTAACTGTTGTGGAAAATATCAAGATCTACATAAACGATATAGTAGCCTAATGTAAAAGTAAAACATATTAGTTATACCCACAACCTCAAATAACGAAGTAATTAGGTATACTCTGCAGAAGCTAAGCTAATACAACGCCAAACTGAAACTAAGCCTTAAGTCCTTTTTATCTTAAGTCCTTCTTAATATAAACTTAAAAATCACTGCCCGGCAATATTTCCATAAAAAAAGGAGTTCAAAAAAAAAAAAATTGTAACATTAACTGGGAGGCGGAGATAAAAGTTCTCGCAAATATAAATTATTCCATTTGGCTATCCTATAAAGTCACGCTATTTTACGTTCAAGGTGTAGCGAGGAAAGAGGCATGTCAGCTAATTGAGGGCCATATCAAAAACACACACTCCATCTGTTGCCACTTTATCAACAGCCAAACGATGGAATACAAAGCGGGAATTTCCAAGATATACATTCTAACCGTGCTTTCTGATTCGAAATTTCCCACGCGATTATTAGAATAAGCACTTCCTACACTGTGGGTATAATAACTTTAGGATTCCTTCGCAAATTTTAAGAGAATTAGTTATCTATACTATTTTCAGTAAATAAATAATAGACTGCAGATATTACAGTAGGTTTTCGGGCATAAGAATTTTACAAACAATATAACAGCACAAAGTTTGGATTCATCTCATAATCACCTGCGTTTTGTATACATGAACCACAGAAGCTGCTGATTGCTTTCAATGTGTAATGCAGAATTAGATAAAACCATCAAGAGGAAGAAACTATCAAGTATTCCTTTTATAACAACCCAGCTATGGCTTCCATAGAAAACTGAATAATCAAAAAGCAATTTTGAATACTGCTATATTTATCAGTCATATAGCTTTCAATAGCACAAAGTTAAAAGAATATAGAGAAATAAAAAAAACCTGGAAAAATGCTTTACGTTTTATTTACCTCATCATAAAAATTTTACTTTCCATTACAAAACTATCCGCCTTTATTCAAGAAATTGAGATTGGAAGGTTTTAGATTGTTTATAAAACATAAGCATTATCTATAACCTTTACGATAAATATTGCAACAAATTTTTATATATATATATTTCGTTTTATTGTTATTATTATTTTTTATTATATACTCAGTAATTAAAAAATTAACAAAAAAAAAAACAAATACGATCTTAACACACGCGGGAATAAAAATATTTATTTATAATTCTCATCCCGTTAAGTTAATTTTATATATAAATAGACAAAGATTACTTTTATTTTTCTTATATTATTACGTTATAAAAATATTTCTTTATAATTCTCATCCTGTTCAGTTAATTTTATATATAAATAGATAAAGATTTCTTATAGTAACTGATTTACTTTAATATAAATTTTTAATTGCATTATTATGGGTCGTCGAAAATATTTTCAGTATCCCTGAAATACTTTATTGCTATGCCTTCCATAGAAAACTGAATAATGAGGAAGCAGTTTTATATACTTTATTATACGTGAAACGATATATATATATTATTATTATTTTTTATTTTATACTCAGTAATTAAAAAATTAACGAAAGAAAACAAATACGATCTTAACACACGCGGGAAAATTTTTATGTATATAAACAGCATAAAAATATTTCTTTATAATTCTCATCCTGTTCAGTTAATTTTATAATAAGTAGATAAAGATTTCTTATAATAACCAATTTACTTTAATATAAATTTTTAATTGCCTTATTATGGGTCGTCGAAAATATTTTCAGTATCCCTAAAATACTTTATTGCTATGCCTTCCTTAGAAAACTGAATAATGAGAAAGCTGTTTATTATACGTGAAACGATGTATATATATTATTATTTTTTATTATATGCTCAGTAATTAAAAAATTAACAAAAGAAAGCAAATACGATCTTAACACGCGCGGGAAAATTTTTATGTATATAAACAGCATAAAAATATTTATTTATAATTCTCATCCTGTTCAGTTAATTTTATATATAAATAGACAAAAATTGCTTATAGTAACTGATTTACTTTAATATAAGTTTTGAATTGGTTTACTGTATGGATGGGTCGTCGAATATATTCTCAGTGTCCTAAAATACTTTATTACAAGTGAGACATTAGTCATAAAGTTTTCTATAGCACAGGGTTAAGGAAATATGGAAAAAAGAT